CCACCAGGGGTATCGAAACCCGGATTCTAGCGTTGTAAGTCCGCAGACAAGTTTGTTTGAAGTTAACCACAAAGCTACACAATTGGCTATCTGTGATCTGTCCACCAGGGGTATCGAAACCCGGATTCTAGCGTTGTAAGTCCGGAGACATACCGCTGTGCCACTGGGGTGGGGTGTAAAAGGAAAGGAAAAAGCTGGTATGTTTTACACCTATAATGATACCCCAGCATGTCGTTCTTGATGTTTGGAAATTGTAAGTTTTTAACTTACGCTGTGATAGAAACAACTGCTAAAGTGAACCTTCATAACATCTTACTTACAATTTAGTTTTTCGTCAATAGAACCATGAGTTGTAACTGAAATGGCAGAGATGAATTCTTTGAACGTGACGACTCCATCCTGAAATTTAAAAGGAATCCTTATGATCATGACTTCTTAGTCTTAGCTCTTTCACTGTCTCGTTTATAAATAAACAACTTTCCGAGTGCCGGGTTTAATTCTATTTAAATAAACGTCAGTATGTGTGTGAACCTGTTCCATATACATTTTCACATTTCTTGATCAATTAACATCAAACTTGACACAGTATTACAGGATCACATGAGGGGGTTGGACCCCCATCTAATTTCATACTGATTTTTTTTCGGTATTTGTACCTTTGTGTATTTTTTATTACACTTTAAATGTTTATTATGTTAAGAAAAAAATAGAAGCACAATTTTCAATCATTTGTTACAAACGAGTTTTTATTTCACTCGTCCAACGAACGGATACTCCAGCTAGTACATAATAAAAACAAAAGAACACGTGATTTAATTTTTCATTAATCATTTGGAACTTGAACTGGTAAACTCTGGGGAGGTTTGCTAACTACAGTGTGGGAACCATTGATCTAATAGCTGAATTTTGTAGTACTGAATTACAGAATCTACTACATAATTAATGAAAACATGAGATGGTTTTGTAACAAGTTTTGTAGCTGTTAAATAGCTTTTAAAAATGTGTTTCCCATATTTACAAATACGGACAGTGAGAGAATTCTATCGATTACTTAACGTTGCCAGTAAATGTTACAAAATATAAAAATTGTAGTTAAGTAACTGTTAAAAACACTTTTAACAGCAAAATCGAAATTTAAAAATCACTATTTAAAATACAGAATAGTTTACAATCATCAGTAGTGGAAATAATTATGGAAACAGTGAATATAACGACACCCCCTTTATTAAGACAAAATGAATTGCACCAGAGTGCAGTCACTTGCTGACAGATTACACTATGATTGGTTGTAATCCTGCCAATCAGAAAGCACTGTACAAGTGTAATTCCTATGTCGAGTAGAGATATTGTCATATATGACACTCAGGGCTGGAAAACAACATATCAAGCGTGTAGAAATCAAAGTTTTGGTTGGTCAAAGATAATCTATACGAAAATATGCGGCGAGGTTTTGTGTTTCAGTAGCTGCTGTATACAAGACTGAAGTAGGCAGGGACGTGAGATGAAGTGGTTGGGATAGAAAACCGAAACTCTCCAAACGTGACGCTAGGTGTCTCAGGGTACGTTTACGAGATAAAATAAAGTCGAGTATATATATCCTGTTAACGATCTTCCTGTAAATACAGGTGTGAAAGTTACTTTCTTCCTGTAAATACAGGTGTGAATGTTACTTTCTTCCTGTAAATACAGGTGTGAATGTTACTTTGAGAACAGTTAGATACATATTAACTCAAAATGGTCTCAATGGTCGTGTAGTTGCTAAAAAATAACAAAATAAACTGTTGATGAGAAGTAACTAAACCAAAAAGTTTTGTTTGAAGTTAAGCACAAAGCTACACAATGGGCTATCTGTGCTCTGCCCAACATGGGTATCGAAACCCGGTTTCTAGCGTTGTAAGTCCGCAGACATTCCGCTGTGCCACTGGGGGGGGGGGGGCACCAAAAAGTTAAAATTGGCATCGATCGCAAACAAAGCTGGATACATATG